ATCCATGCAGTTACCATCACAGCCAAGCCATAACCAGCTTAAGAAACGAACAGCCTAACTGCAAATGTCCCTGGGGAGCAGGACAGTATTTTTCATTACCTGGAGAAAAATGTTTTCAGTTTTTCACAGCAGAAAGCATTATCCAGCCTGCCACAACCCCAGGCAGCATTTCTTTCCAGGGACCTGATTAGATCTTCCCAAAAGACCTCTTAAAGAAGGAATAGTCAAGCTGAAACCATTTTAAAGGGAACATTTATCATTGTCCTTACACCCAGTGATGAGTCACATGGCCTTTGCTAAACCGTGTAGAAGGAATGGAATTTATTTATTGCTTGCCTCGGGAAGGCAGGGCAGGGAGCCAGAGTGGCATCCGCGTGGAAATTGCCGTGCTCCGAAGGAGACAAATACTTGTGCATAGAACACATTCTCTTCCGATCTGAAAGAGTAGTTGTACTTGATAAAAACCAGATGAGCAACACTTAAAGCCCAGCCCATTCACATCACCAAGGGATGAAGGGCATACAACAGAGCCTAGGTATTGGAAAAACAAGGACTTGCCTTACCATTTGAATGACAATTGTAATTAGGAATGGGCTTATGCTAAATCCTATTGATGTCAGTGGCAAGGCTTGATTCAGTGATCTCAGTGTTTGCCTGCCTTTGGCCTCAGCTCAGGAACATGCCAAGCTGGGGTTTTAGCACCTGCTCTAATTTAAACACTCACGTAGGTGACCTCTGTAAAGAACACTTGAGTTAACTTTACTGTTACCACCAGTTACCATCAGTTCTCCCTGAAGGGAGCTTATTGCAGAAAGAAAGACAATCATAAAGCTTAAAAAGCTTAAAAAAACCTACCAGTGCTGTTCTCTTGACACATAAAGAGGCAGTTATGTACAGAACAAAGAAAGTTTTCAGTTTTCATGTTGCCTTTTAAATACTGGGAGAATCAGACTCATACACTCGTATTGGACGTGGATATTATTTCAAAAGAAGCAGAATGAGACAGTTTGATGGTTCCTGACTGAAACTAAATTCAGAACTCTCATTTTGTGGGAAATTTCAACATTTCAACATTTTTCCAATACTGCCATTTGTAAGAAATCCCCAAATTCCTGCTCCCAAGCACCCTTTCTGGCCAGCAGCACGAGGCACAATGCCAAAACCAGAAGCAGAAAGAGCGTCTTCTAACAGCGTCCATGTTTATAAAACCTGCCTTTTGTTTTTAGCTGACTCTCTGAGAGGATGTGCAACTTCCTCAGCATTTCATTTCCATAGGTTCTCCAAAGGCTTGGGGTATTCCAAGCTGGCCATGAGCCAAAGGAGCCATAAATCAACCATGACAAGAAGTTCCCTTCTCCTCTGTCCTGCTTCCCCATGACAGCATCTTGGGGAGCATAATGTTTTCATTTTAAACACACCACTGGCCTCTGCAGGGCCCTTTCTTTGGCACTATGATTTCAAGGAGGTTTTAACCATCCTATGCAAAAGGCTTATGTACTCCATGTGTACCTGTGGAGCCTGCTCTGGCACCACTCAGGGAAGTGGTGCTGTGATGCAAGTGCAGTGATGGACATGACAGAACTGTGTGTTAACAGAACTTTGCTAGGCTATGGTCTTCTTTAGGATGAAAAATCCAGGACTGAACAAAAATGTCTTACAGATAAGCCCTGGAATGGATGTGAGATGACCCAGAAGGGACTTTTTTCACTGGAGTTGGGGCAGGGGGAGGTATTTGGACTTGTTTTCCAACACAAAAAGGCCTAGAAGGCCTTGGTGCTTCTTTCTTTTATAAACTGCCCCTTTTAGCCTTTCCAGAAGGTGACAGCAGGCAGTCCGAAAGACAGCAGCATGTCTATGGGCTGGTATGGTTTCTAAACATGGTATGTGTTACTACAGGGCAGTGTCTGGCTGGTGAATACACAGAACGAGTCTATATAGGCCGAGCAAAACCACAGACACAATGAAATGTAAGTGTCCTAGCATGGGCTGTGGCACTTCTGCCCAAAAGACAGCCTTGCCGTGGAGCTGCCTGGTGCTTCCACAGAGTTCTTCAGATCAGTCCAGGGTATGCTTCCTCCTCCAGGCACCAGGACAGATCTGCTGATTCTCCTCTAGGAAGGTGAGGCGAGAGCAGCCAGGAAGCTGGTGCCATTACAGTTCTCCCAAATTTCCCCAGTTTGCTAGCAGCCACGGCAGAGGAATGGTGAAGGAAGGGGGAATGGGCAGATGGGTTTTCCAGGTAACACCTGGCAAACGAGGGCTGATACAGTCTCACACAGAACAATGGCTTTGTTTTGAGTTGCTTGTCAGGAACTGACCTCTTTCGCCTCTCATCCTCTGAGCGTGTGATCCTTGGGGTCCTTGTTTTGTTTCTGCTCTCCCTCCCTGAGCTGACTTTTTCCTCTCACTTGTCACAGTGACGCATACAGTGTCCATAAGGTCCTCTTGACATCAGTGCCTCTAAGGCTGTCCTTGCTGTGGAAAGACTCTGAGGGTGTACTGTGGTTACAGAGGGTAGATAATAGTAATTCCTCAGCCAGCTGCCTCCTCTTTTGTCAGATACAGGGGCTATGTGAGGGAGAACATGTTCAATTCCCTTTCACCCACCCGCCAAGCACTTTGGGCAGCACAGGCACACGTAGAAGGCTGGTTATTGCTTGAGTTCCGAAGAAGGAAAATACAAGTGCAAGCCTGGTGGGGAGGATACAGCTGCATCCTCTTGAGCGTACAGGCTGCAGCGGATACGGCCCTCCCTGTCAGGGATCTGTTGCTGTTCTACTGGCTGCTTTCTCCGGAAGCCATAGCCATGAGACACCCACTAGGAATGAACATTGCTCACAGCCTCTGTAATCAAAATACAATCTGAACCCACACTTACTGCATGTCCCCTACTCAGAGCCCCTCTGCTGAGATCCCAGCCAAAGCAGTGAAGTGTGGGTAGATGGGGAAAGCAAGCCAAGGACAAGCCTCGGGCTCTGCTCTTCACACTGGCAAGTTCTGAGATGGGTCCTGATATTGTGTTCCTTCGTGTGACATCCACCACAGGTCTGTCTCTGCCCACACCATGTTCATGTGCCATTCGAGGCCCCGCAGAGCAAACAACTGCTGGCTGGTCGCTGCTGAGAGATTTCCACACATTGTGCTGGTACCATACAGGTCTCACTGTGCTGCTCCTACGTTATACTGGATTAGTGCTGGTAATAGCACTTTGTTTCCTCAGTCCCACCGGCACTGCTGTGTCAGTGGGATGTTGTTCCACCCTGCAGATGGGTCAAAGGGACTGTGCCCAGGATCACATAGATCTCCACAGCTTGGATGAACGGATGGCGTGTGCCTGGCCATGACAGCAACATGCTGACAAGGGCTGTTAGAGTTGCTTCTTTAGATATTAGGCTTATTTAGATATTATTTAGATCCTGGGATGGGACATGTGGGGAAGCTGCTCTAGGCTGTGAATCCCAGAGAGTCCTGCAGTTGTTAATGTGGCACACACCTCCCCATGTTTTCCATGACCTGTCCGCCCTCATGGCCTGCCCCTCTGAAGGAAAGGGCTGTTTCCCAGCTGGGCAGCCCTTGGAAAACCCAGCTGAAACCAGGACATCTCCCCAGCACAGCTTCCCGCTGCTGCAGGCCTGTGCTGTAGCTCTGCCCTGCTGTCCTTGCGGCTGGAGGCTGAGGAGAGCCGGGCGCCATCTTGTCAGCCAGCCTGAGGTAACGCAGGGAGGTGGGCAAACCCCTGTGCTCCCCGCGTGTTCACATGGATTGCCTTTCTGAAGGAGAGGGATATTTCCCTGCTGGATAGCCGCCTTTCCCCAGGAGAGCTTTCCAGGGCTGCAGGCCTGTGCTGTAGTCTGCACCATGCTGTCCTTCCCTGTGGGCACTGAGGAGCGGCAGGCACCATCTTGTCAGCCTGAGGTGATGCATGCAGGTGAGCAGCCTCCAGTATCTGAAGGGGCCTATAGGGATGCTGGGGAGGGACTCTTCATTAGGGACTGCAGTGACAGGACAAGGGGTAATGGGTTCAAACTTAAACAGGGGAAGTTTAGATTGGATATAAGGAGGAAATTCTTTCCTGTGAGGGTGCTGAGGCACTAGAATGGGTTGCCCAGGGAGGTTGTGAATGCTCCATCCCTGGCAGTGCTCAAGGCCAGGCTGGACAGAGCCTTGGGTGCCATGGTTTAGTGTGAGGTGTCCCTGCCCATGGCAGGGGGTTGGAACTGGATGATCTTAAGGTTCTTTCCAACCCTGACTATTCTATGACTCAATGAAATCCCTGCACTTGCCCTTCATGCACATGGATTGCCTGTCTGAAGGAGGATATATCCCTGCTGGATAACTGCCTCTCCCCACCACAGCTTTCCAGGGCCGCAGTCCTGTGCCGTAGCCTGCACCTTGCCTCTGGGTGCTGAGGAGAGCTGGGGCCAGGTCCATGCACAAGCCCACCAGGCGCCATCTTGTCAGGGCAGCGTGAGGTGATGCAGCAGCGAGGTGAGGGAATTCCCGTGCTTCCCCTGCTTCCACAGCAACGGGGATACAAGACCTAAACCAGTGTGTGCTACAGTGCCAAACAGTGCCAAGCCTCTCCTCAGAGAGGAGCAGTAAATGCAGCCTGGTAGCTCTTCCCAGAGGAAGGCTCCTTGAAGAGGATGGCTGAGAAGCCCTGCGTGCTGTGAGGACAGGCAAGCCGTGCCCGTGGTCCCTGCTGGTTGTAATGCCTGGATGCAGGCCACATGAATCATCATCCATCAGCCTCCTCCCAGGCGCTCCTCCCTGCTCTCACTCTTCGCAGCTGACAGGACACTGCTTGGAGTGGCTCCCCGTGGCACTGGCCAGCCATCAGGTGCGGCACGGGAGAGCAGAGGGCAGCCATGAGCCAGGCTCCACTCTTCAGTGTGTGTTGGCCAAACCGTGGTTATCTCAGCCAGTCACTTGCTGCCATGGCCTGCAGTCATGGGAGGCTCTAGACAGGGTTAGTGGGAGCATGTGTAGGTAAAGCTGCATGTAGTATCAAATATTGTGCATTCACACACAAAGGAAATACATTATAGTAAAGTTCCTTCAGTAAATAGTGAAGGTGAAGCGACAATGCTAAACACCTGTGCCAAGGAATGCTTTATCCTGATTTAGAGCTAAAATAAAAGAATATAAAGATGTAAAAAGAATGAAAGTAAAAGAGGAAAATCAAAAGGATGAAAGTAAAGGAGAAAACTCATCACTGTCTGTAACAGCAGAAACTGGCTTCTCATTCTGTGTGCAGAAAACCAACCCTCCAAATGCCAACAGCAGCTGAGGTCTCCTTGTGCTTCTCAGGAGCTATCTGCTAGCAACACTCACCATGGAAGCAGGAGAATGGGGTACACCTGGCCCTGGGCACCACTAAAAGGAAGTGACTAGCCTTCAAATGGGCTTGGTAAACACCTGCCAGCAAAGCTTCTGCGTGGAAACCCTTCTGGGAAGAGGTCAGGAAGGTACTTTTTACATTTCATGGTCGCTGAAATCACAAAAAGGGGACAAAGAAGGGAAAGTTTTTTTTTCTAGTTTACTTTTAAAACTTGGCTTGCTTCTAATTAGGTGATGCAAATTCTTCAGATGATCTCTGGGTCTGAGGGGGAATATAAGGTTTTATGGAGCCCGGCATGAGGTTGTGTGTTTTGTACCTTGTCTCCTAGCAGCAAAAACCACATGGATGTGAGAGGCTGTTTTATGATCCGCCAGGGCTGTTGTTGGACAGGCTACAGTGAGCAGAGTTATTCCAACCACGTTGGATTGCTGTTCCCTCCCTCTTTCTTTCTCATTTTCCCCCTCTGTCCCATCTTCTTTTTATTCCTTCTCTCTTTTCCCTTTTTTCTTTTTTTTTCCCCTTTCTTCTTTTGTTTTGTCTTTTTCTTCCTCACCAGGCAAGTGTCAGAGAGGATGGAGGCTTTCATCTTCCTCGTGCCAGAGTTCTCTGACTGGATTTGGCATCAGCATGCTTCTCATCTCCCTTGCAAACCCTTTTCCCTTGCTGGCTAGGATTACACCAGGCATTTCTAAAGAGGCTGTGAACTATGCTGGTTACTCTTTCAGTTGCTCATCTCTTTAGTGTTTCAAAAAAAGGAGAAAAACCAACCCAAACCAACTCCCAGAACAACAACTTTGTGCTCATGCTGTGCAGCAACTTCCGTCAGAGGATTTCTAAGCAGCTTGGCAAACACTAATGAGTTCAGCCTCACAATGCCCCTGTGTAGGAGGGAAGGGTTGTCATCTCTATTTCACAGCTGGGGAAACTGAGGTGTGGGGAAGCCAGAAGATTTGCTTGGGCACATACAGTGTCTCAATTCCTCCCTGACCTGGATTGACTTCCCTTCTTGGTATTTTAACTTGTTCAGGTTGATTCTGTTCTTGCCTTCCCCCCTTTTACACTCCGACCGCAGTTCTTCCTGCCAGTCAGTCTGGTGGCTTTGCAAGTGTGATAACAGAAATAACATCCTGTCACCTTTTCTATGTTCCCAATCAGTCCAGGGAAAAGCTATTCATTGAACTACATGATTCTCTTTTTTGTTGGAAAAGAACTTGTAACTGCTCCTGCCAGAGAGAGACAACTTTAGATCTACATCAGAGCATCATAACAGCCCTCTGCTACCTTCATATTTCACATCACTTTCCTTATACTGCCTTTTTTTCTCTTATTTTCTGCTTGTTAGGCTCATGCAGCAGAATTAAATATTGGCATAGTCCTGCATTTAGCACCACTTCTGGTAGAGCCATTCTGTGTAAGGACAGTATTTGAATTGTTCCCCTGGCTTTGGAAATAACCACCTGCACAATCTTTTCAGCTCACCTGAAGTTCAATCCAAAGAAAACTGAAAGAACAGTGAGTGTTTGCATGGGCTTTGGAGGCCTTTGGGTCATAATCCAAACCACATACTGAAAGATTTTGAGGACTTTTGAGTAAGAATCTTCCCTGCTATTCCTCTCAGTTCACAGAGCTTCACACCACCAATAACTCCCAGCTTCTTCATTGTTCTGTAAAACATAGAGGAAAAAAATCCCAGCAAAGCAAATGCAACTGCAGTGCAATCTCCTCTCCATGGAATGCTTTTGGGCTATTCTATGAGCTGCCACTCACAGTTCTGCATAAGATTGAGATCATGAGTCACAGCAGAAGGAAGCAGAAAGCCTGAGGCATGGACCAGAGAGTGATTTGTGCTTAAAGGTGCAGTGCTGAGATATGGCACTGGCTCCAGACAGTTAGTGATGCAGAAACAGGGCACAAGTCATGGTTATGAATGAATTGCTGATAGCATCAGATAGGAAAGGTGAGTGTCCCTCAAAAGACAATGTGTGACCCAGAACTGATGAATTGGTTTGATTACAGAGAGGGTAATTTTCACAGCTTTTACCACTTGACTTGTTTTAGCCTGGATTTAGGCCCTTTGACTGTCTGCACGTACAATTATTGGCCTATTGCAAATGAGTCTAATGGAGAGGAAAAGGTTCCTAAGCCATTAAGTTCCTGCAAGTTCTATTGAAATGGCATCTGGTCAAGGGCAGAGATGCTTATTGTGGTAGTCTTTACTGGGAAAAGTTGCCTTCTGAGTTCAGTTCCTAAGAACTACCTGTAATACATGGCTGGTCTTTGTAAATACAGAGGATTGCTTGCTTGCTGTTTGTTACAGATTGAGAATCAATTTGACCTTTAGGCTAATACACACCCATCACTTGGCTGTTAAGTCTTCTGGCTCCCTGTCTCCTGTCAGATGCAGTCAGTGGTGTAACATACTTCTGATTTGATTTTCAAAGGTGCTGCGCACATTGCATGCCGTGAAGCTACAGAGACTTAGAGTTGCTCAGCATCACTGAAGCCCATAATAGGAATCTATGTTCTCAGTGCTTTGTGCATATTGTACCTTCTATCCTAAGACCTCTTGCACATAATAAAGGGTAGAGGAAGAATTACCACCTCCATTTATATATCTGGGGAAACTGAGATGCAAAAGGTCCCACAGGGAGCCCATAGTAAAGCTGGAAAACAAATCCATGGAAATCTGATTCCTTTTCTTCCACCTGGCACGTTTGTGAAGAATCAGAATAGTGAAAAGGCTTCTGTCACAAGCCTGAAACCTGGCATTGATGGATGCAAGGGAGTAAACCAGAAGAAGGCTCACAGCACGCTTGTAGTCTACCTTGCATTATTTCCTTAAACATCTGTTGCTTACCACTGTCAAAGAAAGATGCTGGCTAGAGATCTCTGTGGCATTCTTTATGGAGCAGGAAGAAAACACAAATAAGCTTTGTGCCTTCCTGCCCTTCAGAGAGGGAAACTTTGCATTGTCCCTGTCTTGCTGTAAGTGGAAACAGGCGGCTCATGGAAAGAAAGTCTGATCTGAGATGAAAACATCTGGCTCAGCTCAGTCTTATCCAGCCCAGGCTGGGATTTGCACCAGTTGTTATCTGAATCTTCTGAGTGCTTGTTTCTATTCTGCCAAGGTTAGCACCAAGCTTTTAGTCATAGTGGGGATGTTATTCACAACGTGCGCATCGAGGCAAGGGTGGGGAGGACTTGACTGATTGTGGTGATGGCTGATTGTAATGACAGCTATGTTTCATCATTGGTAAACTTGAGGCCAAACTGCATCATATCAACGTCTACATAAATACACGTGGTTCAGAGATGCCCATTTTAGTCCTGGATACAAAGGACATGAAGGTGAGGAGGCCTGTCTGTGGCTCCCCAACTGATTTCGGGCCAGGCAAAACATTATCTGTACATGTCCTCAATATTAGGATGTCAACTCTACCCCAGACAGATGGCAGAGAAAAGTGACAATGCTACTTGCATCCAGTGGCTCCTTTGCTTCCCAGTGGCATGGAGTTGGCCAGGATTTATTTGCTGCTTCCAGAGGAAAGGTCTGTGATTAATTGTTTTCCCTGTGCAGCCAGTTTTCTATGTGTGAGACAAATCAGGTCACAAGTCAGCCAGAGCAGGAAGTTTGCAAAAGGCACAGACCCCAAAGAATTTGCCTGCTTTGCTTGTGACCATAAGGATGCATGATTCAACATGTTAGAGGACTGTGACCCAAGGCACAAAATCTCAGGGAGATTTTGAATGGAATGCTGCTCTCATTCACACTGGTATAAAGCTGTCGGTTCCTTCCTGGTGATTACAGAAGTGTAACTGGCTCCTTCCTGGTATGAATAAATCACCAGCTGAATGATGGGGAGAATCAGCAGAGTTCAAACCCCTGTGTTTGCTCCTTGCTCCTTTCTGCCAGGTTTAGATCACTGGATGTACACATGATTCCTGCACATAGCTAATGGCCAAATGCCACCCAAGCTAAGCATCAGAGACAGAAAAATCAGCTTTCCTTTAAAAAGAGAAGAGCAAGCATGGAAAATCCCCCTAATTATTGAGAATTGCAGCCAAAACCACTTGAAAGCAGAATAGTTCATGCTGGTTAAGTAGAGTTCATAGTCTGAAAATGTTGTGTTTAATTAGCAAGTCACCTTCTTAAGGTCACACAGACAAACTGGCAGAAGATACATCATAAGTCCGCAGCAAGAGGATATGTGAGTGCTGCTGGAAGCAAGCTGAATGTGCAGGAATCTCAGTGGAGGTGTGTTGTCTTGGCAGCTGGTGTTCTACATTGATGCAGAAGGGACGCTTTTAAGAGCAGAGGGGACCCTAGAAATGTCAGAGGAGCACAAGTGTTTCATGTATAGGAAGTCATCTAGCTCTGGGTTCAGAGCGAGATGTCTATCTAGATGTCCATCCGACTGAATTCATAGTGAACAGGCATCCACCACCCATTTCTTCCTTCCTCCCTTCCTGGGACAGTGCTTTTCTGGAGATAATCCAGGGTTTGTGCTGTGAATTATTCTAGGAACTATGAATCGGATCTTCTAGACAAGACATTCTAAGGCTTCCTGTTTCTGAAGGGAACAAAGTTTGCCCCATTGAAATGATCAAATCCAACTGCATGGTATGTCTGTCTGCTGACATCAATGTATTGATACCACAGATGGAATTGATCCAGTCCCCTCAGACTGGATCATCTCAATGTTTTTGAAGTGATTTATACTAACGGCTGGATTCACTTTGCTTGCTGCTCTCTCCCTTTGGTTTTGCTCTTTCTTGCCTCTTTATCTCTCTTTACACTCTTCCTCCCCACGCAGGTCCCCTGCTCTGCCCCCCTCTTCTGCCCCCCTCCTTTTCCACCACATGTGGAGAGGATGACATCCTCCTGCAGCCACCTCGGAGGCTTCTGTCTGTGCTGTGAACAGTGCAGCTTCCTGACAGAGAGAGGGCCAGACAGTGCAGCGGTTCAGTCCTCCTGCTCTGGCTGCGCTTCAGAGACCTGCGGCAGACAGGCTTGCGCGAGCGGTGCTGCCCACATGGCTTTGTGCAGCAGCAAGAACAGGCTGTGACTAATCAGGATTACACCACAATTAGAGAAAAGACACAGAGAGAGTGCCCTGTGTGAGGAAG